AGCTATGAAGAAATAGCAAAATTCTCAGACGCACAGTTTAAAACACTGGTGATCAGGATGCTCACAGAACTGGTTGATTATAGCCACAAATTAGACAAAAATATGAAGGTGAAACTAATTGAAATGAATGGAATTGCACGGGAAACCAATAGCGATGAAAAGGAAACTGGGACTCAAATCAATGGAGTGGACCAGAAGAAAGCAAATAATGGCCAAACAGAAAAGAGTCAAGAAGCAAGAATTCAAAAAAATGAGGAGAGGCTTAGGAACCTCCAGGACATCTTTAAATGCTCCACCATCCAAATTATAGGGGTACCAGAAGGGGGAAAGGAACAGCCACCAGTAGAAAACTGATTTGAACAAATAATATAGGAGAATTTCCTCAATCTGGCAAAGGAAATAGACTTCCAGGAAATCCAGGAAGCTCAGAGAGTCCCAAAGAAGTTGGACCCAAGAAGAAACACACCAAGGCACATCATCATTACATTAGCCAAGATTAAAATGAAGGAGAGAATCCTAGAAGCAGCAAGAGCTAAGGGGACAGTCACCTACAAAGGAGTTCCCATCAGACTGTCAGTGGATTTCTCAAAAGAGACCTTACAGGCAAGAAGGGGCTGGAAAGAGGTATTCCAAGTCATAAAATCCAAAGACCTACAACCAAGATTGCTCTATCCAGCAAAACTTTCATTTAGAATGGAAGGACAGATAAAGTGCTTCTCAGATAAGATCAAATTCAAGGAGTTCATCATCACCAAGCCCTTATTATATGAAATGTTAAAGGGACTTATCTAAGAAAAAGAGGTTTAAAAAACATGAACAGTGAAAGGACAGTTAACTCACAGTTATTAACAACCACACCTAAAACAAAAGCAAACTAAAAGGACAGCTAGATCAGGAATGGAAACATAGAAATGAAGATCTCAAGGAGGGTTAGCAACAGGGGAGTGGGAGGAGGAGTAGGGGGAGAAGGTGCAGAAAATAAGTAGCATAGACAGTAGATAGGAAATAGATGGGGGCAAGAATAGTATGGGAAATATAGAATCTAAAGAACTTGAGACACATGGTCATAAACTAAAGGGAGGTAATGGGGATGGGGAGGTAGGGTGGAGGGAAATGAGGGGGGAATAGAACAACTGTAATGGCATAATCAATAAAAAATAAATAAATTTAAAGTTTAAAAAAAGATATACAAATAGGTAGTTACATAATAGCCATGGGGATGTAAAGTACAGTATAGGGAAAGGAGTAGCCAAAGAACTTATATGCATCACCCATGGACTTGAATATTGGTGGGGTGAGTGCCTGAAGGAATGGGGGTGCTGGGTGGAGAGGGACAAAGGATAAAAATCAGGACAACTGTAATAGCATCATCAACAAAATATAATTTTAAAGAAAACTATGACTTTGATTTTTTAGATGGGGTAGTCTTTTTTTTAAAACAGATTATCCTTGTTAGAATTACCCTTCCAAGTAGGCTCCAATATCCGCAATGTCTTTCATACTCTCTACTGTGGTGTCATAAATGTTACTATGAGAGACTTCCTTCCATTGGAGGGGTTTGAAATGGAAGGAGAGGTAGGATACTTGAAAAACAAATTTTGCATACTCCTCAATTGTTCTCAGGGTCTGCCCTGACCCTAGAATAAGAATAATGGACTATAATAATATGCTATCAAGCAGCAAAACAGACACAAATTAGGTATAACTAAAATGTCCAATGGGAAAGTATTTGTCATGGAAGTTGAAAGTGCCACAAAACACTGAACATTGGTCTATCTACTGAGAATAGTAAATTTAGGCTTAAGAATTTCTGCAGTTATAACCACTTGAGGTCAGGGATCCAACAATTGTTTGTCAAAACGAGTTTTATTTTCACCAAGTCTTGAGATTACAGGAAGTGGGGAAAGGAAATTCACACATAGAGTTAGCTTGAATAGGCAAAATTTTCACTTGGTGTAGTTGAGTAATTTTCCAGAAAATGTTCCTATTCCAGGTAGGTAACTTCTCTGGCCAAGCAGTTTCTGCTTTTATAGGTTAATGTATTTTTATCCACAAAGAAGGCTGTGGCCTATCAGGCCAGGAGTATAGCACAGATCACCACTTTTGGACGTCAGAGAGAAGAATGAATAAGATATTCAGAAATAAGCCAGTTGTCTGGGTTCCAAAACTTTTTACTTCCTGGACCCATCTACATTCCAGTCCTGCAGTTTCAGGAGCTACTTCCTATATTTATAATAATGAGGCCCCCCTTTTTCTTTTTGAGTATTTCTGTGCCTTAGAAAAAAGATTATGAAGACAGAGATACTTCCAGATTACTTTGGTTACTAGGGGGTTAATTCTACAAATACACCAGGACACAAGAACAAGGAGGAGCCAAGCCTCATAGAGACAATAGCACGGCTTTAAAAATAACTGTCAGGTCTCATGGTCAGATAGAATGTCATTTAGGCAGCAGTCACCAACCTTTTTGGCACCAGGGACCAGTTTCCTGGAAGACAATTTTTCCATGGCTGGGGTGGGGGTGAATGGGGGGTGGGGAGTCAGGAGGCAGAGCTCAGGCAGGGGATGGCATGAGGGACAGGAGGCGGAGCTCAGGTGGTAATGCCAGAGGATGTAGAGGGAGGTTGGGGACCCCTGCATTTAGGTACAAGTGTACTTGGCTCCCTATTTCACTATTATGGTGACTCAGTGACCCCTGTCACTGTGTCAGCTTAACCTCTCACTTCTGGGGAACTTCATGGTAGGCCTCTGTTCTGCTAATTACCTTTCCTACACAAGCTTCCCTGCTTCTGTTCTACTCTGATCATGTTCTTATTTGTACCAGTCATTTCTCTCACTGGGAAAGGCTCTTACTGGCTCAGTTCATCAAACTGTCTAGAATGCAGGGCTACCCTGCCAAGTCATTTCACATGCTTCTGGGCAGCCTTTGGGCTAGGGTTGGCTGGGTCACATGGGACACAGGCATAAGAACCTTTATGAATACCTACTCAGAGTATCCAGGGGATACAGCAGGCACATATAGTGTCACATGCAGTAGGGCTGGGTAGCATATTATCTATCACTTATTCTATGAACTCACTCAGGATTAAAATGGGATCCTATAACACAGTGCTGAAAACAGCTGTATGCCATTTTTGGACCCATGAAGAAACATTTAGCAATGCTTAAATGATCCTAACAAAAGTCATGTTATCTCTACTATAAAAATGCATGCAAGTTCAGTTCTTCTCCTAGTCTCCAATACAACAACTTCATAAAAATGTTATTGAAAAAATACACCCAAAATCCAAGATACTATTTAAAAATTGTTGTTATGGTGGAAATTGTATTCACACAGCTGGTAACTGGGGAATTAGAATGTTTAGAAACAAAAAAAAATAGTAGAAATAATTTCTTCTGGGATGCTTTTCCCCACCCTCAACTTTGTTTATGAACTTCATATTTACATACAACAGCCTTGCTATTTTTAAAAGAAGTAATACTTTTAGCCCTGACTGGTGTGGCCCAGTGGATTGAGCACCGGCCTGTGAACCAAGGGGTTGTGGGTTAGATTCCCAGTCAGGGCATATGCCTGGGTTGCAGGCCAGGTCTCTGGTAGGGTGCTCTCAAGTTGAAACCACACCTTGATGTTTCTTTCTTCTTCCCTTCCCCTCTAAAAATAAATAAAATATTAAAAAAATAATAAAATACTTCTAAATGACTTTTTTTAATTTTTAAAAAGTATGTGTTTTGATTTGAAAAAGAGAAACATCAATTGGCTGCATTGATGGTACTAGATACCATCAATTGATGGTACTCAGCCTGAGGAAGGTACTAGATAAACGAGAGAGGGTTGAGGCTTGGAAAAGGCGAACCCTTCCAACCATCACATATGGCATCATTCCCATATATGCCCCAACCAGGGGTTAAATACACAATCTAGGTATGTGCCCTGACCTGTAATCAAACCCCCAACCTTTAGGTGCACAAATAATGCTCCAACCAACTGAGCCATACTCGCCAGGGCTAAATGGCTGTCTTAATTTTAGTCTTACAAATATTGATAAATACAAACCACATGAACAAAAAAAGCTCTCTGAGGTCTTCAATAATTTTCTAGTGTAAAGGTGTCTGAAATCAAAATGAGGACTGCTATTCACCAGCATCCAGTACTTCCATCATACTTCCCAACCACCATGAGCGTGTCTCCTGAGTGATACCTGTCTTGTTGACAGCTAAGTCACCAGAGCCTAGTACAGTGCCTCGCACTTAGAAGGAACTCAGTATCTGCCCAATTAAAAATTACATACATCTTCATTTTCAGCGATATGTGTAATTTGTGAGAAAAACAAGTTCTTTAGAGGGAAAGTATTCTGTCCCAAAAGAAAGAACAAAATAATGAAGTTAGCCGGCCAGTAAAGCTGGTGTTTACACTTGGATATTTTATGTTCCAGGTTTGGAGCTTGTGTACCTCTGAATCATTGAGTACAAAAGACAAGCAACTAACTGCTGCCCTCCCCATCCCTCTTTCCAGACTCAGCCTGAGGAAGGTACTAGATAAAGGAGAGAGGGCCAGGCTTGGAAAAGGCTAATCCTTCCAACCATCGCACCTTCTTCCACTCATTCACCACGATGGAGGCTCAGAATCCATTCTAGGATTTTAGGCTATCAAGATGCACTAGAACCGACACCTATCCTAGGGAATCAGAAAGAAACAAGTAAAAGACACATTTCCCACCCGGAGGAGGGGCCTTTGGGCGAAGGAGGTGAGGCTTTTTCTCAGCAAGACAATCCGCTTCCGTCAGCCCCAGGAACCTCCCCAAGATGGCGGCACCCCAACATCCGCCTGCAGGGTAAGAATATTTTCTTGCTTTTGTTCTGCCGCCCCGGGCCGACTCAACCCTGCCCAGGTCGGGCCGTAGTAAGCCGCACCACTTGCCGCCCCAAGGCGGTCCGAGTAGGCACCTGCGCGTGGCAGCAACGCGGCCATTAGCGCTCAGTCCTTTGTACCCGCACCCCGGCCCGCGTTGGGGCCTGTTGACGCCACTGTGGGCGTGTCAGAGCGACGTGCGACGTCTCGACGTGCCCACACGGCGACTGCGTCAGTCTGAGAGGCCGCCGTTCTCAAGTCATTTCCTGACGTTGCCGCTGGTGTTCGGTAGTCTCAGACCCGGTAGGTGGCGACGGCGGCGCGCGTGCGCGCTCCCGCCGCGCTCTGGAGCCAGCGGCTGCACCGAGCCCCGGAGGAGCTAGCCAGGTGGGCGGCGGCGCAGCCTGGCGGGGAGCATTAGGGCGCGCGCGGCAGGCGGGCGGAGAGGGGGCGGTGCGGCTGCTGTGAGGCCGCATTCCCGGGGACTGCTGGGGCGCTGCGGGGAGGCGCGCCGGGGGGCGGCGGGGCGCCGGCTGAGCGCGGCCGACTTCTTTTTCTCTATTCCCCTTTAGCTTTATCTCGGCCTTTCTGCGTGCTTGGTCGCTACCCGTGGGCTAAGTTGGCAAAATGAGCTGTAACAACTTGGATGGGAACAACGACTTTGATGAACAGTTGCGAATGCAAGAATTGTATGGAGACACCAAGGACGGAGACACCCAGAAAGATCCTGATAGAGAAGCCAATTCTTTCGGGCAGCCGCCAGATGACACCCCCTACGAGTGGGACCTGGACAAGAAGGCTTGGTTCCCCAAGGTAAGAGTGTGTCACCATACCACTGCAGAGTGGGCTCCTGGGCCAGACTCGTTTTCTTTGCGAGGTCTTGGGATAGAGCCCCCAATGGTAGTGGCGTTTCTTTTTGTTGTGTCTGTTGCAGAACCAGTATGTAAAGGAACGTAAATCTTTAGGGGCATGTCTTAAATGTAATTTAATTATAAAGCTTTTTCTATGCCTCGTTAATTTTATCTGTGAAGGTCACAGTTGGTTATTACATTGGTGGCTGCTTTTTATTGCAAAGAGGAAAAACACCAAGAACAAACTTGGTAGCTATTATTCTTAAGGACCTGACCTCACTTATCCTATGAATTCATATGTTTAGCTTATATGCTATGTGCAAAATGCAGCTTTTTTAAAGATTTTTTAATTTATTTATCTTTAGAGGGGAAGGGAAGGAGAGAGGGAGAGAAATATCAATGTATGGTTGCCTCTTGTGAGTCCCCTGATGGGAACTGGCCTGCAACCCAGGCATGTGCCCTGACTGGGAATCGAACCATGCTTGCTTGGTTCCCAGGCCCCTGCTCAATCCACTGAGCTACACCAGCCAGGGCCTAAAATGCAGCTTCTTGATTAAAAAAAAAAAACAACTAGCCATTTACATAGCATTACTAATTGAACTTTGCACCCCTACTTTTCTATTAAATTTTGTCCCTAGACACATATGCTTGAACCATATAACCACAGGAATATGAGTAGAGGTGCACAGAATATGGATGGTCAAGATCTGTGTATATTTGTTCAGAGTATTTGGAAATTGTTAAGCATTTTATATCAGCCTAATTTCAGTAAAATAACTGGTGTTGGACTTAGTTCTGTAAACTTCTGAGTAAATGCATCCTGTTAATCAGAATCTCATGGGTGGAAAAAGGACACCAATAGCACAATAATTGACTTGCAAGCCTGTAATAACAAACTGTGTCTCTATTGTGGAACTTTAAAATTTATTTATTTCAACTTCTTTCTTTACCATTTTGTGTATGTGTATGTGCTCCAATCCCTCCAAATTGTTAAATTTACTAAAGTTGATCCTTGAACAACCTGGGTTCGAACTGGGTCCACTTTACATGCACATTTTTTTTCATCTTGTGAGCAGATGACATAAACTTATGGTATCAGTAAATACAGCACAGTAGTGTAAATGTGTTTTCTCTTATGGCTTTCTTAATAACATTTTCTTTTCTGTAGCTTCATGTAGTACATATAACATACAAAATATGTGTTAATTAACTTTATGTTATCAGTAAAGTTTCTAGTCAACAGTTGGTTATTAGTAGTAAAGTTTTGGGGGAGTCAAAAGTTTTATGTACATTTTTGACTGAATGAGGTATTGGCGTCCTGTGTTGTTCAAGGGCCAACTGTATTTCACTCTTCTACTGGTAGTGCCAGCCCCAGTGCACATTTGGTTTATTCAGCCTTCTGAGTTCTTTTTAAAAATACAACCAAAAACATTGAAATAAAGAACAAACTGACAATAACCAGAGAGGAGGTGGGAGGGGGTAATGGGGAAAAAGAGGGGAAGGGCCATCAAGGAACACGTATAAAGGACTCATGGACAAAGCCAAAGGGGGTAGGTTTGAGGGTGGGAGGTGGGGATGGGTAGAGCCACGGGGGCATGGTGGGGTGAAAATGGAGACAACTCTCCTTGTAACAATAAAAAAAATTATAAAATTCTTTTTTGAAAAGTTCAAAAATTTAACAGTATAATATAAAACAATCTAGTGGATATTTTAATTCAAAAATAGTCTGATAATAGATTAACTTGTGACTCTAATGCTGTGGAAACCCGTATCTCTTCAAACTTAGAATTAAAAATTTTTCCCATTCCTATGTGTGCATAACATTGATTGGTATGAAGATATAACTACACTTTTTGCATTACGCAATTGTGCTGTTTTTCCTAGAAGCCAGGAGGATAGATGTAAGTTCAATTGTTCTTAACTTGTTTTGACAGTAAATAATAATGTGATTTCATTCAAGGTAAAGTTAAAATAAGGATTTACTGTTGTTAGCCCCATTCTTTATACACCAGATCAAAGTTCCATACTGTTCTCTTTGCATACAGATACATAAATGTTCAGTGTACATACACTTTTGTGCACCTATAGAGTTAAAGAGAAAGTAATTCTGTTGTTAGATTACTGGTTGGCTACTGGTTTATTCTCTTTTATTGTTATCTGGTACTCCTTTGGTACATGTTCTCGTTGCCTTAGGTAGACTCTAGAGAGGTAGTAATTTATAAATAAAACAAGTAGAAAGGTGCCAACATCATTTGAAATATTTTAGAAGTTAAAAAAATCTTAGTATTATCTCATACTTTTGTGTGGGTAATCCAAGTGCCCATGGTTTGTTTTTTATCATTTTATGCAGTTTTCTATATGTAGGGTGGGGCAAAAGTAGGTTTATAGTTGTTAGCACATGAAACACAGTTTATTTTTGTATTGTTTATTAACTATATTACTTTCCATATGAACAGTTGTTTATAGGTAATCCGTATAAGGTGACTATTCTTGCATTTATACTTTATTACTACAATTACTTGCAGAAACACTTCTATGTTAAGGTGTATAACTAACTGAATATCCTATAATTTAACACAGTGTAAACTTTTTACAGGAGAAAATTATTTAAAATTTTTTTATATGTGTGTGTTAAATTTCTTGTTCAGATCACTGAAGACTTCATTGCTACCTATCAGGCGAATTATGGCTTTTCTAATGATGGTGCATCTAGCTCTACTGCAAATATACAAGATGTTACTGCTAGCCCCGCAGAGGAACTGCCCATTGTGCCAGGGGCACAAAGAAATGCCCCTGAACCCACTGATCCCAAAAAGAGGGGAGAAAAGAGAAAGGGTGAATCAGGCAAGTGAATTTAGCTTGAAAACATGAGTGTAAAAATTAAAAGTGTGTGTATGTGTGGTAACTTTTTGGAGAATTATAATGGCTTTGAAGGAATTGTTGAAATGATTTTTTTAAAAAATATTTCAGTTAGCCTGCGAACCAGACAATTGAGGCTCGATTCCCAGTCAAGGCACATGCCTAGCTAGGTTGCAGGCTGGTTCCCTGCAGGCCAGTTCCCAGCAGGGGATGCACGAAAGGCAACTGAACATTGATGTTTCTCTCCCTCTCTCCTTCTCTTCCCCTCTAAAGATAGATAAATAAAATCTTTAAAAAAATATTTCAGTTCATATGTTGACTCTCACTACCTTATTGAGGGCATTGAATGGGCTGTTTCAATTCTGTGCCTCAGTTGCTTGCTTTACAAAATAGAACTATTATTAAGGGATTATCAAAAGTTCTATTAGTAAGATTTTTTTTTGTACTTTTTGAATTTAAGTGAATTGAACTTAAGTCAACTTTGCATCAGCTTGGCCATGTCTAACACAGTAGATTGGAATCAGAAGCAACTTAATGTGAAGGCCTAAAGTTAGTGCAAGGATGAGGTTTTTTTTAAGGTACTATCAGAATCATAGCCAGCATATAGAAGCAGCCCAAGTGCCCATCAGTAGGTGAGTGGATAAAAAAGCGGGAGTATGTTTATGCAATGGAATACTACTCAAACATAAAAAAAAGAAGGAACTCTCAACCTTTTGTGACAGCATGGATGGACCTGGAGAATATTATGCTAAGTGAAATAAGCCAGTCATAGAAAGTCAAAGTACCATATGATTTCACTTGTAAGTGTAATCGAATGAACAAAAAAATAAACTAACAAATAAAATAGAAACAGACTCATTGATAGAGAACAGACTGACAGCTGTCAGGGGAGGGGTGGGAGGCTGGGTGAAAAAGGAAAAGGCATTAAGCAAGGGGAAAAAAAAACCTTATAAACACCAACAATAGTATAGTGATTACCAGAGGGAAAGGTGGATGGGAGAGGTAGAGAAGGTAAAGAGGCTATAAATGGTGATGGAAGGAAACTTGATTTGGGGTGGTGAACACACAACACAATATACAGATGATGTATTACAGAATTGTATATATGAAATCTATATAATTTTATTAAGCAATATCATCACAATAAATTCCATTTAAAAATTGTAAAAAGATTTTATTTAGTATTTTTAGAGGAGAAGGTAGGGAGAAAGAGAGGGAGAGATCTTTTAAAAAAAGAGAGAGAGAGGGAGAGAAACATCGATGTGTGGTTGCTTCTAGTATGTGCCCCAACCAGGGACTGAACCTGCAGCCCAGGCATGTGCCCTGATTAGGAATTGAACTGGCGACCCCTTGCTTTGCAGGATGACTTCCAACCAAATCAGCCCCACTCCTCAGGGCTGCATAATTTTTTAAAAAATGAACTAGCTCTTTTTCTTAAGAGAGGGTTCTGAAACTAATTTTGTATCAAAAAATCCAAATACTACTTTGAAAGCCAGACAGTGGTTTGAATTAGTCTGTCTTGTTCTAAGGGTAAAAGAGTTCCTGGAAGTTTTAAAACACTGCCACATTGTCAAGATATTATAATGTGACTTTTACCTTTTGTTGCATGTGTTTTATTTATTTATTTTGATTTTTAGGATGGTTTCATATTGAAGAAGACAGAAACACAAATGTATACGTGTCTGGTGCGTATACCTTTTTAAACAGGTTTAGAATAGAAAATACTTGATTTTGATATTTTTCACAAAGTATTTTGTTTTCAGTTTTTCTAAAGTCTTTATTATTGTGTCTTTTTTGTTCAACTCTTTACATTAGTGAGGAATATGTTTGTTGTTTATTACCAGACTAAGAAAGATTAAGTATGTGTACATTTGCATGCCATCCTTTTTGTCTGGTTTAGGTGATTTGTGGTACTTTGTCCCTTCAAATTCATTGCTACAAGGCTTTGGCAAAGCGTAATTTTAATGTATGTTTGAATACATTAAAACATGAAATTTCTTCAATTGTATAGTTGTGAGATTTTACATACATTTGGAAAATCAAAATTATGCTCATCTAAGTTGTAGTTTTCTAATTTGTATAATGCAAAGTAACCTTCACCTTTATTTAGATGCCTTTATACATTTAAAATTTTTTTTCCTAATGTTAATAGGTTTGCCTCCAGACATTACAGTGGATGAATTTATACAGGTCATGTCCAAGTTTGGCATTATTATGAGAGATCCTCAAACAGAAGAATTTAAGGTCAAGCTTTACAAAGATAATCAAGGAAATCTTAAAGGAGATGGGCTTTGCTGTTATTTGAAGGTTAGTTATATGGTCAGATAAGTGTCTTTGATCTCCATTTTTAAGTCAGGAACCAGGGCTGTAATTTTATATAGATGATTACTAAGATGAAGAACTATTCAAAATACGATGTCTCTAAGAAGAAGTGCAAGGACTACAAGCGGTTTTAGATTGTGCCTGCATGTATCACCTTGATAGGTTTTTTACTTATTCGTCTAAGAAAATAAAGTATCAGGTCAGAGTATTATGTAAGTTATATGACTGACGTGCTTTTTGTCTTCAAAGAATTCTCACTGCAAAGATCTCTTTCAGAGTGTATGCCTATAATAAACTCAGAACTCATTTTAAAAATACAGAAGGAAAGAAAGCCAGTAATATTTTATTTGCCCATTTGAATGAATTTGACCAGGGGTCAGCAAACTGCAGCTCACTGCTTGTTTTTGTTAGTGAAAATTTTAGAACATGGCTGCATTCATTCATTTACCTATTTGTCCATGGCTACTTACATATTTCAACAGCAGAGTTGAGTAGTTGCAGCACAAACCATGTGGCCCACAAGGCCTAAAATATTTGTAACTGGCTCTTTAAAATAGAAGTTTTCTGACCCCTGAGTTAGACCATAAAGGAAATGGTAGCTTATGCTTACCTTTTCAGAATATCTTTTAATGGGAGAGAATGGTATTAACAGAAATTCACAGAACTATATTTATGGTATCATAAATGCACAGGAAAAGCTCAGTGTTAAAAGACACTCATCATTTCTCTGGAACACCTATCATCTTAGAAACGGGTGTGATCCATTTTGCAGGGTATAAAGAGATGGGCACAATGATGACATACACATGTCATAGAACCTGAAAATAATTGTGAAGTAAAATCAAAGTGATAAAACAGCAGTACCAATAGCACAGATGTGTTGCGTATATATACAGCATTTCAGTGAAATCAGAAGAGGGTGGGATTAAGCCGACAGCCTTTTGGGAGAGAAGGTTTTGACCTGATTCTTGAACATGGTGGGAATAGGACATGGGTGTGACCATTATAGGAAGATAGTTATATAATTTTCAAATGGAGATTTTTTACAAGGATTAAAAATCTGTGAACAGATTCTTACGGGTTTGATTGGATTTTAAAAGAAAAAGTGGGGTTTTAAGAGACCGTGTATACAGTTTATGATCCATAAATGTGTAAGATTGGCAGACCAGTAAATTGAATTCCAGAAAAATATAGTTAATTGCTCCAGGATCCAAATTTTATTATGCAGCTGTATTCAGCTGTCCTTTTGTGTTCTCTTTAGGTTCTCAGATTTTTGACTGTTGAACTGACAACTGCCCCTTTTGTATAGGACCCGGAATCCTCAATGTATATAATGTATAAGCTGTCAGATGATAATCATCTACTTCCTATTATGTTATAGGCCTACATTTTAATTGGTGAGCAAAAAAATTAAAGGCTGGCTATGCTATTCCCTGTTTCTTGAGCCATCTGGTCTTTTAAGAAGGCCTATCTTAGAATTTTAAAACTGGAATGTACCTTAGAAATCATGCAAGTTCCTTTGCCTTGTTCTGTAGTTGAGAAATTGAGAGTCCAAGAAGCAATACTCCAATAATGGTATAACTTAGTGAGCAACTGCCTTATACCAGTCACTGTCCTTCATATATATTCCATATAATTTTGTCAGGAACCCCGTGATGAGGGCATTGCTATTCCCAGTTTACAGATGAAAAAACCTGGGGCTCAGGGAGTTTGAATAACTTGCCCAAGTTCACATGGCTGTTCGGGGGCAGCTATGTGTTGAATTCAGGTTTCCTGGTATGCATTCTAGAGTTCTTTATCCCAAAGTGGTTAGGTATGTTTAAATCATCATTGCATGTCTTGTCATCATTCATCTAAAAAAAAACTCCTGAAGTTTTATTTCAGTGTGTGCCTTACTGACTGGGTCTTGTTTTCCCTTTTTAAAGAGGGAATCTGTGGAACTTGCATTAAAACTTTTGGATGAAGATGAAATTCGAGGCTACAAATTGCATGTTGAGTTAGCAAAGTTTCAACTGAAGGGGGAGTATGATGCCTCGAAGAAGAAGAAGAAGTGCAAAGACTATAAGAAAAAGCTGTCTCAGCAACAAAAGTTTGTGTTATTTTTTTTCCTCTTTGAGAGAATTTGTATAAATATTCTAGAGTATGCTTTTGCTAATAGCCACCTAAGTTTTGTTCCATCAAATATGCCTACAGATTATTTTAAAAGAATTTTATTAGGTCATCAGGAACCTTCAGTAATCTGTACCATAGGATGATTTGGCAGCAGTGGTGTTTTTCGTTTTCTGGGGTGTTCATTTATAATACAATGGAGATTTAAATGAGATAAGACAGCTATGTCTTTGGAAGATGTTGAACATCAGATTAAATAAGATAGTATAGGCTTATATACTAGAGCCATTAGTTCATTTTCAATTAAGTTGAAATCAGCTACATCAGGAGCTAAATTTTTATGTACAGGTTTGTAGTAGAAATTTGCAATGATAGGTTTTTCATTGTATTTACTGTGTGTCATATGTAATATATACATAATGCCATCAAGTTTCCATTAATTCATTTGTTTAATATGTGTTTTGTCATATGCTACTTTTAAGAAATCAGCCAAAATGCTAGGTACTTTTATCAGAGTGAGTGCTAATAACACTTTTAACACTGCTTAAACTGTTGATAAAATGGTCATAAAAGCATTTAGTTGTGATGTCCTATAGTTCTTATAGGAATAATTAAAATAGATACTTACAATTTTTATAAGCATTATCAGTTAAAGTTAAGATTGTAACAATAAAGAATGAGTAGTTTTATATATTTCAGTGCAGTTTGTCATAGTCATAAGATGCCTAAAAACCAATACAATTATATACTGAAAAATTAGCAGTGATTGAGGAATCTCATTGGAATATTTGTAACCAGACAGCAGCTCCGAAAAAAATGTACAGGGCAGTGCATACGTAGGTTTATAGCTGTTCATATGGAAAATAATATAATAATAATATAAGAATAAACTCTGTGTTTCATGTACTCACAATTGTAAACCTACTTTTGCCCTACCCTGTATATTTCGGGCATTTCAGATATTGGGTCCATCTTTCACCTCCCGTTATTTTTATTCCAGAAAGTTGTCGGAATGAACTGTGACTAAAATATACATTGTTATTTTGGAATCAATTATTAAATACTCAATAAAAGATTATTTCTACTTTATGACATTAGGCAGTTGGATTGGAGACCTGAGAGAAGGGATGCGCCATCCCGAATGCGCCATGAACGAGTCGTCATCATCAAAAATATGTTTCATCCTATGGATTTTGAGGTAGGGCACAGAACTCTTATTGATAGAAGCATTGACATGCCTTCTTTCAAGGGAGCCCAGAGCTTGCTTCCTCCCATCTTTCCTTTGTTGTGTCTTGTACATTCATGTAGTCCTCAAGGTAGGAGAATGTAGCCAAGAATCAAAGTTTTCAGATTTTCCCATATTTACCCCAGTGTTCTTTTAGTTGTATTACAGGTAAGACTGCTTAATATCCACGCTGTGGCCCAAAATGGCAACTACTTGGTATAGTAAATGATCAAAAATATAATAATTAAAAGATTTATGGTAACTGCTCATGCAGTTCAACAAGTACAAGTTTATTTTGTTGGGAAGGACCAGTTTCACATTTGGAAGTAAAAACTTCCCTTTAGAACTAAAAGTTTAGTCCTTAGCACTTCTTAGGTTAGTGAAATATAGCTCATTTTTAAATATTGAAGTTTGTTTTTCAGGATTTAATTTTTACAAAAGTCTTTAGTGGCTCTTAGGTGGAGTTTATACTATTAATGTCCATGTAAAAATCCAAGAACAACAAATAAAAGCAAGTAAAGGAAGAAGAGCTACTAATGGGGTGTGAGGAATGTTACTTGGCATCAGGGTACCTCATGTTGCATTCTGCCTCTTGTTCTTACCCGTTACTTTTGGCATAAACCATAGGGATTATTTGCAGAAGAATAATTCATTATTATCTTATTAGATTCTGAAATTGATAAGTTACATATAAGAAAAAATGTTCATAATGTAAAATTCCAGGTTTACGAATGATGTAGTTGCAACCAAAGCCTACTTTTGTGCATTTAAACACAGAATAGCAATGTCATAGTAGTCCCCTTACATACTAACTCCCCAGATTGTCTGTTGAGCTCCATTTGAGTGAATAGTGATGAGATCAGGTTTACTGTGCATCCATGGAGTCTGTTGATTTTTTATGTGTCTTCTGACTAAAGTACTGAAGAACCTTGAAATATATCAGAGCTACTCCTGACTGGTATGGCTCAGTGGGTTGGGCATCATCTCAGAAAGTGAAAGGTCACTGGTTCAATTCCTGGCCAGGGCACATGCCTGGGTTGTGAGTTCCATCCCTGGTTGGGGGTACATGCAAGCAGCAACTGAGCATTGTTTCTGTCCCTCTCTGTCTCCCTCCCATCCCCTCTCTTTAAAAAAATATTTTAAAAAAAGACATATTCAGTATATCAGAGCTGCTTTAGACTTAACAGTGAAAACGAAGTATGTTTTAAAGACACATGTACACATGCACATTAAATGTGTTTTGAAATGCAGTCCTTACCAGGTGTGCTTTAAAAGGAATTCATAGATGGATTGTGGTATTTAGTCTACTAGGCACAACTCCAGAATTGCCTACAATTCATATAATTTTACCCTACTAGTAAGTAATCATTTTTTTTATTACAAGGCCTATTAATATTTATGGCTTGAGGTCCTTAATTCACATATTCCATACTCCTAACACTTCAGCGTGAACATAAGTGCAAACCTAACTCAAAATATCTGGAACCTCAGCAAGTAGGAGTCTGTTATGTTAATTATATTGTTTTTTCTTTCTGCTTCCGCCTCCTCCCTTGCTCATTGAGACACCTTATTTGAGTCTAGCTATCACCCTGGCCAGATACATGGTAGATACCTTTTCTACCTTAACAAATATTCTTTCCTCCAAAAAGCCACATTTATTCTACCTCGACTCCTAGAAATTCCATCCAGTGAATATTTTTAAGAGTAGAAGTTTCATGCTTATAAATTCTTGATGGTTTTAAAACAAAAACATCACCCTTACTGGTTTAGTATAAATTTTACTTGAGAGTTATACAGCTTTTATATTATTCCACTTTGTCTCCTTCATACCATTTATTATTGTCTGAAATAATTAGATCTCGCCTATTAGAAAGCCAGGGCTCTGTCTACCTTGTTTGATGGCTGTTACTATTCCCCACGTTTGGAATTGGGCCTGGCACATAGTAGGCTGTCAGTATATACTTATCAATAGGCCCTTGATATTTATATGAAGAAAAAGTGAATGAATAATTGAATGAAACTACTGTTACTCACAAGGCAGAGTATTTTTCATTCCTAGATGGATAAAACATTTTCTGTTTAGCATCTTTGCGAATAAAGGAAAAGGTCCTTTTCAAGCACTTATACCACCAAGGCTGGGAGGACAGTAGTGGACTTCAGTTTCTTCACATAAAGAAAACCTTGGTCCTGTCCTTCTTTGTCCACCTGCCTTGACCAATGTCTTGTGTGGTCTCCTGAGCTTGGTAAGAGCCTCTCAGTCAGAGTGATTGCAGATAGTCTTATTTTTTGTTCAGAGTCTCTCTGGGTGAACCTCAAAGTGTATCAATGTAGATCTGTCTGATATAGTAGACTCTAGCTTTGTGTGGTTATTTAAATTTAAATTATTTAAATGACATAAAACTAAAAATTTAATTCCTAAGTTGTACTGGCTACAAGCAGCCGGTAGCTACCATATTGGATAATGTAGATACTCTTTTCTGTCACCACAGGAAGTTTTGCTGGATACCACTGGCATAGACATTATATAACTTGTAGACATGTACAACAGGAAAACCTGGTTTCATTGGACATTTGGGGGGATCATTTGATTTGACTGGTGATTCTATATTTTAAGGATGGACATCATCACCCTGACTGGTGTGGCTCACTGGATTGAGCACCAGCCTGCAAACCAAAGGTTCATGGGTTTGATTCCCGTTGAGGGCACGTGTCTGGGTTGTAGGCCAGGCTCCAGTTGCCTCGATGTTACTGTCACACATCATTTTTTCTCTCTTTCTCTTTCTCCTTCCTTTCCCCTCTCTCTAGAAATAAATAAAATCTTTAAAAAGAATAAACATCATCACTGTGCTTTGTGCTGAAAACAAAAACTGAGTTCTAAGGTTACCTGGGGTGTGAAAAAGAAGTCAGATTTGGGGAGTGGAATATATTTTTCTTCCAAATAGGTGACCAGTGTCGGAAGCAAAATACCTGAAAATAGTCTTTGGTATCAGGATGAACAATGTGAAGGTTAATATTTTTAATGTAATTTCAGAGGGTTTTCAGTATTTAATTCAAAGCCTTATTTTAAAATTTTTGCCTGGCAAATTTGAATACCAAGAAATGAAGAATTAAAACACATGCAAAGGTAGGTTTCTCACTGTCTATACCACTATTGTCCAATGAAAATATAGTGTGAGCTACTTGTGTAATTTAAACTTTCCTAATTGCCACAGTAAAAATGTAACATGAAAAAGGGTAAATTTTTTTTAAAGATTTTATTTATCCATTCTTAGAGAGAGGGTAAGGGAAGGAGAAAGAGTTGGAGAGAAATACCAATGTGTGGTTGCCTCTCATGTGTCCCCCACTGGGGACCTGGCCAGCAACCTAGGCATGTGCCCTGACTGGGAATCGAAGCACAATCCTTTGGTTCTCAGGCCTGTGCTCCATGAGGGGAAATTTTAATAATGGATTTTACTGAGCTACATGAGGGGAAATTTTAATAATGGATTTTACGTAGCCCAGTGTATTCAAAATAATGTAATTTCAATATTATTCAAGATATTAATGAACTATATTGTACCCCCCCCCTTTGGTACTAAAGCTTCAACATGCAATGTTTGTTTCGCACTTGTAACACAACTCAATTTGGACTAGTGACATTTCAAGTGCTTACTAGCCACATGTGGTTAATGGCCACCATCTTGCACAGTATAAGTTTAGGTTAGAAAGAAATAAGAAATATGGCCTATTGTTTGCTAGGAAAACAAAACACCACCCTGAAAAGTTTTGAGCATTGCACCCTGAAGCAGGGTTCAATGTGTCAGTCTGATTTTAGTCTCTGGTCTGTTGCTTGCAAAGTGTTGTCTTTAGGAAATTTCTATGCTTAGCTATGTTTGGGAGTTTTCCTAGACCAGGGGATTATTAATTATCTTTAAGCTTCAGGGTACTATAAAGTAATGAAGATACATTAATTATTTTCAAACTGTTATAACTAAAAATGGAGGTCTGGGAAGTCTGGCAAAAATTTGATATCCTCGTAGGAAAAGCATTAGACTTTGATATAGAAATAAAGACAGTGATTCCCCTCCTCCCCCAATGGAATCACACTGGTTAAGTATTTTGAAACAGCTTTTGTTTTTAATATAATCTTGCTTTCTCTTAGTGAATAAAATAGAGGTATTAGGAATAGTTTATGAAACGTTGACAAAGCTTTTATTGACTTTTCACTATGTGTAAAAGACAGTGCTATGTTCTGTGAGGCATAGAAAACTCATGTAAACATGATTCCTACCTTTGGAAGGCACACAGTCTGCTAGGAGCTAACCATACATGCACATACTGAAAAGCCGCCACATGACTTTACCAAATGACTTTTATGCTCCATTCCCCATTCCTGTCAGTTCTGATAATTATATATAAAACACATTGGCCCCTTCTCCAAAATTAGAATTTATAAGTGAGGGAAATCCAGAGTCTTTCCAGCTGTAGTTTCAGAAGCCACAGATTTATAGAATATTTTTTATTTTAAGTTTTATTTTAATGACTGCTTACCAGTTTTTTATTTTCGCCTTTTGAGAGAACTGTAGAAGGGGAAAAAAACACTTTTTGGACTTGTTTGTGTTTTTTTTGTTGTTGTTGTTGATGAGGAATATAAAAACCTCTGAGTTAGATGAATTTAGATGTTTTCTAAATGTATGTCTTGTACTTCAATAGAAATTCCTAGGTAGGCCCTGACTGGTGTGGCTCAGTTGGCCTGGCATCCTCCTGTGAAGTGAAAGGTCATCAGTTTGATTCCCAGCTTCAGGACACATGCCTGGGTAGTGGGTTTGGTGCCAGATTGAGAGGCAACCAATCTATGTTTCTTTCTTGCATCCGTATTTCTCTCCCTCCCTGCCCCTGTCTGTAAAAATAAATAAATAAAAATATTTAAAAAATTCCTAGGTGTAGGGTATACTTGTTTATACTTGCGTGTAGTTGCAATTCAAGGTTATAGTGTAACATTTATGAGTCTTTTTCATGCATAGGGACTTGGTGAAAGATTTCTTAATTCCTACAGGAAATCTTAAAACCTTTTATTGGTAGGGGGAACGTGGAGGCAGGAGGAGGGAGTCCACCTGAACTCAAGCAGCAGTGTTTGAATATTTTTAATAGATTGTAGTTTCAAGAAAGCAACAGCTAAAAACATGTTTTATTGAGTGCTTAATATCAGTTCCTTATTTGTATGGTTCTGATGCAATGTGTAGGAGACAAGATGAACAGGAATCTTTATAAAGGAGGTTTACCCTGTGAGTTAAAATAGAATCTTGGAAGCACAACAAACAATCTTAGAGCACTTAGTCAATGAAAGGGGTATATCTTTCCCCCATTAGAACATTTCTATAAATAGGAATCTGTGCAAAACACAAAGCAAAGGGCTCTCATTGGCACAGTCATTCATGCCTATGCAGTGTCTGACTTAATATGTGCCACAGTACTTCTCCTGTTTTTAGAGCTGCTGTTATTTGGGATTTCCAGTCCACTTCCCTTCCCCCTTCTCTGCCATTGTACACTCCTACTGCTGCCTCCTGTATTTGCCCATTCTCTCTGTTTTAAAAGCAGGGCAGACCTGTGGTAGTACCAGCAGCCATAGAACTTTAAGTTCATTTTGATTTTGATTTTCTTTTAAATTTTGTAGACTACAGACAAACATAACTGAGTAAAACCTTTTGCATTTGTTGGTATATCAAAGCAAGAAATTTGATTCTCTGAATTTGTCTTTAAAGAAAGGGCCAAACTTGTGTGAATCATGTATTTTTGCAGGATGATCCACTGGTGCTGAATGAGATCAGAGAAGATCTTCGAGTAGAGTGTTCAAAGTTTGGACAAATTAAGAAGCTCCTTCTATTTGATGTAAGTTGATGGCTTTGACATTTCTGAAACAATTATTCTTTCAGTTAAAAGTTATTACCAGATGTCAATATGCCCAAAATTTTACATTGTTTTTATATAGTACGTCTATTTGGTGGTAGTCATCTGTTAGCAATAATTAGATGGACATGGATTGTAAGTCAAGGTTTTGATAGACGTGGTATGCTGTGATTATTTCCCTGTATCATCACTGTGGAGTGTCTGATCAGGTTAAGAAAGTATAAGAAAAATGTGTCAGATCTTACAATTCCATGTTTGTCCACATTTACCCCCTCTTGAATGATTCTCCTCCTCTATATTTGGAGAAGAACAATTAAGAAAAATATACTTTCTTATATGTTCCCCTTATCATCCTTTTTTTCCTTCCAAAATTAATGCATAATGAAAAAAGAGTCACTGTTTATTGATTGTGTACTACAAGCTACTTTATATGTTACCTCACTTAATTCTCAATCTTTCGAGGTAGGTGGGTACTATTATACCCATTTTACCAATGAGGATACTAAAAGTTTAGAGATTGAGCACCGTGCCCAAGGTCATTCAGTTGTTAAGTAGCAGAGCAAGGATCGAATCCCAGGACTGTTCAACTTTAGAGTCTCCATTTAGAGTCTGTGCTGTCTTGCCTGTCCTAGACAGTGTTGTCAGTAGAAACATTTCCAAGGTCATCATGTTTCATTCTTGCTAGAAACAATTAAGATAAAGAAAAGGCTAGCTGCATGTCACTGGATGGGGTAAAAGGGAAGAAAGTGTTCATATATAGAATCTTAACTCAAATTATCAGAAAGAACACTACTACTTAATTGCTTTGTCAGATGTGTATGTTTTATTTTGAATTTTCTCATTTATTCCTACTTTTTGTTCCTTGTCTTTTTAGAGACACCCAGATGGTGTAGCCTCTGTATCCTTCAGGAATCCAGAGGAAGCTGATCATTGTATTCAAACTCTTGATGGACGGTGGTTTGGTGGCCGCCAAATCACTGCCCAAGCATGGGATGGAACTACAGATTATCAGGTAAATTCTGCAACTGCCAGGGGAACATAATTTGTTACCGACAAATTGATCTAGCTGTCCTTCAGATAATGTTTGGATTTCATTTAATCTGTGTAATATTATAGTAGCACTTGTGAATAATATTTAACCATTCAGAGCATAGAAAGAAAAAATGTTCAGCCTTTCAGTTTATAAGTGTAAATTTGAGGCTTACTCAGAATAGTAATAAGAAAAGAACACATTAAACCAAAATGTTTCTCTTCTTTTCTGTGGTGTAAAGTACAGGCAGAGTTTGAATATTAACTTTTTAATTAATGAGACATTTCTGCAGTACTAGGGTGTTGGGCATTTATTTAAATGATCCTAAGGTCAACTCTAGTAAATCAAGATTTAAAGTTTTTAGAGCATTGTTCTGATATGCCAAGGGTGTGGGTTCAATCTCTGATCAGGGATAATAATAACCAGTGAATGAATAAATAGGTGGGGCAGCAAGTCAATCTCTCTCTCTGTCTTTTTCTCTCACTTTCTCTCCCTGTCTTCCTGTCCCCCATCTCCCTCCCTCTCTCCTTTTCATCCCCCAAAAGTAAAATTATGTAAAATTTTTAAAACTAAAGACAGGAATTTGCTTTGATTTCCTAATCAGTGCCTTATAAAATCAGGATACTTTTATCAGTATTAGAAATGCTCAGGGATACTACTTTCATCTTAAAATTTATTTTAATGGCAATTTTCATTTATGCACAGGTGGAGGAGACCACAAGAGAAAGGGAGGAAAGGCTGAAAGGATGGGAGGCTTTCCTCAATGCTCCTGAGGCCAGTAAAGGTCTTCAACGTTCAAATTCCATTTGTGCTTCAGAAAGGGCAGGGCCTTCTAGAGTAAGGCATTTTTCAGAGCACTCTAGCACATCCAAAATGAATGCTCAAGAAGCTCCAGCTGAAGTGGAATTTGAAGAACCTATAGATGAAAAGAAGTTTGAAAAAACAGAAGATGGGGGAGAATTTGAAGAAGATGGTAAAGAGAGGGGACCCAAAAAAGAGGCTGAAGAAGGATGCCTCCAAAAAGAATCCGAAGGTGGCTGCCTTGAAAGAAAATCTGAGAAAGGCTGCCCTAAAAGAGAGCACGAAGACCTTGAAAGAGAGTCTGGAGAAGGCAGTCCCAAAATAGAGTTTGAAGAGGGTAGTCCTAAAGAAGAGTCTGAAATGAACGGCCGTGTAAGAGAATCCAAAAAGAAGCGGCTCAAAAATGATTTTGAAGAGAATGGCCTTGAAAAGGAGTCTGAAGAAGATGGCCCCAACAAGAAATCTGGAGAAGAGAATGGCCCCCAAAAGGAGTTTGAAGAAGATGAGTCAGAAAGAGAATCTGAAGAACACTGCCCTGAAAAGCTGTTTGAAAATGGCTCTGAAAAAGAATTTGAAGAAAGCGGCCTCCAAAAAGAGCTTGATGAGAATGGCTGTGACAAGGAGTTTAATGAAAACATTTTTGAAAAAGAGTTAAAAGAAAATGACTCTGAGAAATCAGAATTTGATGATGACAGCTCTGAAAAAGTGTTTGATGAGGAAGGCTCTGAGAGAGAGTTTGACAAAGAATCAGATGAAAAGGAAGGAGAGGAAGATACATATGAAAAAGTTTTTGATGATGAGCCTGATGAAAAAGAGGACGAAGAAGATGCAGATGCAAAGGGGCTTGAAGATGCTGATGAAAAGGAGGAAGATGATGCAGATGAAAAGATGTTTGAATACTCAGATGAAAAAGAAGAGGAAGTAGACGCAAAGGAGGATGAAGGAGAAGGTATAGATGAAAACATGTTTGAAGATGATTCCAATGAGAAGTTGTTTGATGAAGATTCCTGTGAGAAGTTGTTTGATGATTCTGACGAGAAAGGGACTGTGGGTGATTTGGGGAATGTTCAGGAAGAAGGGGCCTTGTCCACAGGCAGCAGCTTTATCCTCAGCAGTGATGATGATGATGATGATGATGATGATGATGATGATGATGGTGGTGGTGGTGGTGGTGGTAATGATATTTAATCCCTTAAATTTACTTTTGAGGGCTGGTCCTCTACATTTTGCCTATGCTCCAGGGTAATTACTAGTAGTGTTAACATGAACATGTGCATAGTAGTAAGATGCCATCAGATTAATGAATGAACATTTTCGTTGTTTCCTATACCTAATGATTTTAAGTATATATTAATTGGCTTTTAAGTTAAAACTTAATAGTATAATGCAAGTAAACTGGATACTCGTCCTTTGTCATACTGTTAAATGCATGCAGAATATTTTTAAAGTATTCTGATTGAATTTTGTGATACTCAAAAATAAAAATAAGTTGTTAATATGCAGAAACTGAAAACTGGACTTGAGTTAAATTGCATTTTAAATTCTTGCTATTGCTTTATTCATACCTAAGTTTAGTTTTTTAAGGATTTGAAAAATCTCATAGGGATCTCCTTGCCTCTAGTTTATACTACCCCTTAGGTCCCTATTTCCCCACTCTAAACCAGAACATGTTACTAAACTTATAAGGTAAACAGCACTTAGGAGTTTTTTTTTTCTTCCCAGTCCTTGCAAGTTACTTTTGCTTTCCTTTCTACCTCCTTTTCATGATAATTGATTAGTAGATGTGCAAGAGTGAACCTGCTGAGCTTTACAGCTTCCACTACTGAAGATACAGAGAAGGAGATTAGAATGATAATCTACTCTGTATTATCTAGGCCCTTTCAGAAATTGATTGGAGGTCTGGGACCTCTCCCCAGAAAAGTGCACACACTACACAACTTTTTTGTATACCGTTTTGAGAGGTTCCTGGATCCCCTAGAGTTTAGGAATGTCATCATTCATACTTTAATTTTGTGTTCTTGTTTTTGTTTTAGAATGGTGCCTAGTACTGTGATAAATTGTGTAGTCCCAATAAAATGTTGGGTCTTTCTTGCTTATGCTTTCCAAATTTAGTATTGATGAATTGACTTCTGATGTAGCATTAAGAAGTTATTCTCATAAATTAGAATCATTGAAATAAACTGCATTGATGCTTTTTCATTAGACTGTCTCTAAGTGTAATCATTACCCTCTTTAAACTGAGAAGAGTTCTTGTACTTCAAGCCAGCTTTCTGAGTTTTTAGTTGATGTCTGGGTTTTCTTAAAATGTGCAGGATTTGGACCAGGGATAAATCAGTAAAAGAGGTGAAGAAAGTTAAATTGAAAGATTGCAAGCCAAAATAGTGTTTCCTTTAAAGATGAACCAGAAACACCCAAGTACAATTTTTTTGAAAATTGGTTTTCTAAATGAAAGAAAAATGAAGCTTTATCTTCATACACAGTGGTTGGGACATACAACTACAACTTTTTTTTCAATTAATAAAACATATATTCACCTGCTGTTTTCCCTCAAGAATGTATACTGTAACTGCAAAGTAATGATACCAAAATTTTTAAAAATGGCAGGCACGTTAGAACCTGACACCAACAGTTTTAAACTTTAACTGAGCTCTAAGACCATTAGGAAGAGTCTTTTCATTATAGCTTCCCTGCTCATTAATTTGGTTGATGATCAAAATACTTGTGCTCTTCATGTAAACACCCTGGAAATGAAAGTTATGAACAACTATAAATTGGTAAATAATTTATGAGGTGCTATTGACAAGAGTCATGAAGCACAGAGTCACCTCTTTTCTAAGTAATCAAGTTTTTTTTTAAATTTATTTATCTTCAGAGGGGAAGAGAAGGAGAGAGGGAGAGAAATATCAATGTATGGTTGCTTCTCATGCATCCCCTGCTGGGAACTGGCCCGCAACCGAGGCATGTGCCCTGACTGGGGATTGAACCGCGATCTTTTGGTTGGCAGGCCCATGCTGAATCCACTGAGCTACACCAGCCAGGCCCCAAAGTAATCAAGATTTATTGATCCAGAGAATGAAGTTTATTGTGAGGCAACAATACATCAAATACAACAATACATCTGTTATCAAAAGAAAAAAAAAATATATATATATGAGTGGATTTTAAGCACAGCAATACACAACAATTACCTGGCACTTTCTAGATGTAAGGCTCCTCAAGAGTATATATAAACTATAGTGTATATGAACGTCAAATAATGCATGTAGCCCTGAATGTGTGAAGTGGCTACAGGGATGCATTTGAAAAGCTTGAATGCCCGCTCTCTGAATCTCCAAGTACCTTGATAGGAAAAAACTTGAAACTTTATTTTATTTTCCAGATTTTATTTTATTTATTTTTAGAAAGAGGGGAAGGGTGGGGAGGGGGAGAGGGACATCAATGTGTGGTTCTCTCATGCGAGAGAGAGGGACATCAATGTGCCTCTCATGCTCCCCCTACTGGAGGCCTGACCCACAACTCAGGCATGTGCCCTGACTGGGAATTGAACCAGCAACATTGGTTCACAGGCCGGTGCTCAATTCACTGAGCTACACCAGCCAGGGCCGAAGCTTTATTTTAGAAGATAAAAATATTACTGGCCTTGCCAATATTAATGAGATATTTGATATTGTTACTACTTTCTACAAAAGAACCTGACAGGGCAAATTTGGACTATTCGATTCCAAGGATCTGTTTTCCTTTTCAAGTAGTGCTCTTTCTGAAGCCCTGATTTGCCAATCTGCTTTATTTGGGATACTACATCTTTTACTTATTTTTTTATTTTGGGAGTGTTTATTAAGGATGGGGACAGTGAAACAAGGAAGGGCTTAGAGTAGAAACAACAGGAGAGAGCCTCGGTGGGGCTGCTTTGGGTCTCTGGACTGTCAGAAAAAAGGGGCCTTGGAGACAAGTTTATAGGGTTAGTCTGTGACAAGCTGCATTACTCATTGCTCCCTGGGTTGCAAGTCTCATGCTAATCCTTAGAATTTAGGAGAGGCACATATGTGATGGGGAAAGGAGAAGGGAAAGGCCTGAGAATGGCATGTTACCACTTCCTTTTCCAGATGGTATTTCTAAGGCTTAAAAAAGAAGGATTTAACTAATTTTCTAAATACACCTTTCTCAAATAACATGAATCTTATTTTTTCAAGTAAACCAACATTTCAATGTAATGTTGAGAAGTGCTTTTAAATTGAACAAACCCATGGCTTAGAGAACAGTAGAAGACTTATAAATTTGCGTTTTGTGAATATTTGTTCATAGATTTTTTTTTTCTTATTGGGTCTCTTTCAGATACAAACTGCATGCCTTTTTATTTCAGACAGTTCATTTTTTTAAATTTTTTATTTATTTATCTTTAGAGGGGAAGGGAAGGAGAGAGGGAGAGAAATATCAATGTGTGGTTGCCTCTTGTGTGTCCCCTGCTGGGAACTGGCCTGCAACTCAGGCATGTGTCCCGACTGGGATTCGAACCATGGTTGCTTGGTTCCCAGGCCTGTGCCCAATCCACTGAGCCACACCAGCCAGGGCCATTTTTAAAAAATATATTTTATTGATTATGCCATTACAGTTGTCCTATTCCCCTCCACCCTGCACACCCCTCCTCCACCATTCCCCTCTCTAGTTTATGACCACGTGTCTCAAGTTCTTTAGATTCTATATTTCCCATACTATTCTTGCCCCCCCCCATCTATTTTCTACCTACCATCTATGCTACTTATTCTTTGTACCTTCTCCCCCCTTCTCCTCCTCCCACTCTACTGTTGCTAACCCTCCATGTGATCTTCATTTCTGTGGCTCTGCTCCTGATCTAGCTGTCCTCTTAGTTTGCTTTTGTTTTAGGTGTGGTTGTTAATAACTGTAAGGTTGCTGTCCTTTCACTGTTCATCTTTTTTATCTTCTTTTTCTTAAATAAGTCCCTTTAACATTGCATATAATAAGGGCTTGGTGATGATGAACTCCTTCAACTTGATCTTATCTGAGAAGCACTTTATCTGTCCTTCCATTCTAAACGAAAGCTTTGCTGGATAGAGCAATCTTGGATGTAGGTCCTGACTTGGACCTACTTCATGACTTGGAATACTTCTTTCCAGCCCCTTCTTACTTGTAAGGTCTCTTTTGAGAAATCAGCTCACAGTCTGGTGGGAACTCCTTTGTCGGTGACTGTCCCCTTATCTTTTGCTGCTTCTAGGATTCTTTCCTTCATTTTAATCTTGGCTAATGTAATTAGGATGTGCCTCAGTGTGTTCCTGCTTGGGTCCAACTTCTTTGGGACTCCCTGAGCTTCCTGGATTTCCTGGAAGTCTATTTCCTTTGCCAGATTGGGGAAGTTCTCCTTTATTATTTGTTCAAATAAGTTTTCCACTTGCTGTTCCTCTTCCCCTCTGGTACCCCTATAATTCGGATGTTGGAACATTTAAAGATGTCCTGGAGGTTCCTAAGCCTCTCCTCATTTTTTTGAATTCTTGTTTCTTCATCCTTTTGTGTTTGGTCACTTTTTTCTTCCTTCTGGTCCACTCCCTTGATTTGAGTCCCAGTTTCCTTTCCATCACTATTGGTTTCCTGGGCATTTCCCTTCATTTCAATTAGTTTAGCCTTCATTTGTTCTTCTAATTTGTGACTAAAACCAACCAGTTCTGTGAGCATCCTGATCACCCATGTTTTGAACTGTGCATCTGAAAGTTTGGCTATCTCTTGGTTGCTTAGAATTACTGGTTCTGGGATTGAGCTGTTCTTCGTGAGCCATAATGTTTTGGTCTGTTCGCGCCCATTAAGTATGAGGAGTGGAGCCTTGGATGTTCACCCAAGGCGGGGCCACCCAGTTGCTGGTTTGTGACGCTGTATGTGGGGGTGGGGTCAGAGAGGGGCAATGGCATTTGTTCCACTCTCAGATTTCTGTCCCCTCTGCTGCGTCCCACAAAGAAATTGGGCCCTTCTGGTACTGGTTCCCAGGTGTATGGGCTTGTGTACCCTCCAAGACCCTGTGGGTCTCTCCAACGTACTCTCCCGGCACCTCAACCCCAAAAGTCTTTCCAATTGGTGCTTTCAGGCTCTAATTCCCATTGCTGGGGCCCTAGCCTGAATGGTCTGTCTCAGTGTTCACTCCTTGGCTTGGTTTATCTGTGCTCGAATGTATGACTGGTCAGCCAGCCACCCTGTGCTCTTACTGGGTCCACCCATTGCCAGCCCTCGCCTGGTATCCGCCAACCGCTGCCTGCATGCCTGGGTCAGTCCACCGATCTTTCCTGCCCAACTGACCCCACTCTGCTGCTGACTCCGCCCCTCTTACGCATTTGGCTGAATGGTTCATTGTTGGACTTCCATACAGTTCAACTTTCTGTGTTTTAGCTGCGTTATTGTTACTAAAACTTTGTTATCTTTAAATTTGGTTGTGTGAGGAGGTACAGTGTTTCCACCTACGCCTCCATCTTGGCCACAGCCCAGTCAGACAGTCACTTCATTTAAAATAAGTTTGCTCAAATTATTTTTCCTTTTCTCACACCTCATTTACATGACTGACTTTATTCACACTTCTATGTAAAATACTAACCTGATGTAAGAAGTGTTACTGTATGAAAGGGGGGAAGGGATTAAGAGGTACAAGCTGGTAGTTACGAAATAGAAGGATGTAAAGTAGAGCATAGGGAATACAGTCAATTAGTGGTGCCCTTGCCACTGTGGCTTGGTTGGAGTATTGTCCTATAAACCAAAAGGTCATGGGTTTGATTCAGGTCAGAGCATATATCTCAGCTGCAGCTTTCATCTCCAGTTGGGGCACTTATAAGAGGCAATCAATAGATGTTTCTCTCCCTTTCTCTGTCCCACACCCTCACAAAAATCAACAAGCACGTCCTCGGGTAAGGGTAAAAATAACTAGTAATATGGTAATAACTACAGTATATGGTTATGATGTCAGATGAGTGCTAGACTTACTGTGTAGATCACATCATAAGTTATATATGAGATCTGTCTGAGAAAAGTCCAGCCGTTGTTAATATAATGAGAATGGTTTGCATGGCATTGATGTAACCTGGCAGCCAAGGAGAGTGGACTGGAGTGTGAATGCATGAACAAAGATGACTTCACTGTACTAGTCAGTGGGGTGGTAAATGCCATTGAGTGAGCAGGTGTACTGTGTAGCCACCTCATTCAAAATAACTGGG